TCACTTTTAGGACATACAATCTCACATTGTTAAGAACAACACTGTCATATCTGGGCAAAGGAAATACATTAAAAAGAAAGCCCAGATCCTTTACTATTGGGGGAAGAGCCAGAGTACGTGCTGGAAGCAGACCTGTGGTTCCAGGTGCATCAGTCTCGGTCCACTTCGAGCTATTCTAGAGCTATTCAGTGCAGAGCATCACGGAGTGAAGAGCAGGGAACACACTCGTCTGTGTCAGTGTCTGTCTCTTCTGCATCAAACCCTCCAAGAGCCCATCACAGGAGCTCCACCCTAAACACCAAATCAAACGAACTCTTTACCTTCTTAACTAGTTGGGGGACTGAAAGTTCAGGGGAATGCATCCTACTCCAACTGTAGCAGCCTCACTCCTAAGAACCAGGGACTCTGTACAACTAAGACTAATCCCCATACAAAGGAACAAAGTATCCTTCACTCAATCCCAACCACACACCCCCAACTAGGCTAAAGTCTTGAGTAACAGGCAACAGAAAGCCGTCAACTGGAGAACAGTAGAATTGAGAGATCCCTCTCTGAGGTGCAGAGCAGAGAGAAGACTTAACACTGAGGATTGTTCACTTTTGAAAGAAAACCTCTACCCAGCCTAAAGACCAGGTAATGCTAGACAGACATGGAGCCTGTGGTACACTCAAGGTAACCAGAACATGAATACATCTAATACGAGCTCAATTCCTAAATAGACAGAATCAATACACCCCACCCCCACCCATCACACACAATACACTGAAGGCTTAGCACCTGGAACATGTTTTTCCACTGTCAGGTATAATGATTATTTGCCTATGTCTTTATGACCTACACAAGATCTCTGGCTATCCACTAAAAATGACCAACCATGCAAAGAACAGAAAAGAAAACCACAAAGGAAAAAAAACCTCAACATACTTTCAAGAGGCAAAATCATTAATACAACTAGTCTGGTATGATAAAGATGTTGGATTTATCAGATAAAGAATTTTAAAGAACTACGACTAGTATGTTAAAGGCCAGTAGAAAAGGTTAAGAATATGCAAGATCACGTGGGTATTTGCAGCAAAGAGAACTACAAGAAACCATTAAGTATAACATGAGAAATGAAAAATATAGTAACAGAAATAGAGACTATCTTTGATGAGCTCATCAATAGACTTTACAGTGCAAAAGAAAGGATAAATGAACTTGAAGATCAGATTACAGAAACCGTCCAAACTGAAGCATAGAGATTTTTAAAGGAAACCACTTTAGAATACAGTATCTAAGAACTGTAGAATAAGATCAAGTGGTCTACCATACCCGTGATTGAAATCCTAGAGAAGAGATATGTGAAGAAACAAGAGCTGAGAGCTGTCCAACATCAATGACACGAAACTCAACGAACATTAAGAAGGATAAATACCAAACACATCCACACCTAGGCTTATCATATTCAGACGGCTGAAAACCAAAGAGAGAAAATACTGCAGGCAGTCAGAAAAGACACTTTCCATATAGAAGGACAAATAAAAGATACTTTCCATATAGCAGGACAAATAAAACTATTGCAGTTTTCCAGTCATAAACTATCCCAGTCAGAAAACAACAGAGTTACTCAAAGTGCTCAAAGACAAAATCTGTCAATGAAAAGCTTTTTTTTTTTTTTTTTTTTTTTTTTTTTTGACAGGCAGAGTGGACAGTGAGAGAGAGAGAGACAGAGAGAAAGGTCTTCCTTTTGCTGTTGGTTCACCCTCCAGTGGCCGCCGCGGCCGGCGCGCTGCGGCCGGCGTACCACGCTGATCCGATGGCAGGAGCCAGGTGCTATCCTGGTCTCCCATGGGGTGCAGGGCCCAAGCACCTGGGCCATCCTCCACTGCACTCCCTGGCCACAGCAGAGAGCTGGCCTGGAAGAGGGGCAACCAGGACAGAATCCGGCGCCCCGACCGGGACTAGAACCCGGTGTGCTGGCGCCGCAAGGCAGAGGATTAGCCTAGTGAGCTGCGGAGCTAGCAATGAAAAGTTTTATGCCCATCAAACATTTTTCAAAATAGAGAAAAACCGAGATAAACAAATTTAAAGAATTCGTATTAAGGCTGGCGCTGCGGCTCACCAGGCTAATCCTCTGCCTGTGGAGCCGGCACACTGGGTTCTAGTCCCGGTTGGGGCACCGGATTCTGTCCTGGTTGCCCCTCTTCCAGGCCAGCTCTCTGCTGTGGCCCGGGAGTGCAGTGGAGGATGGCCCAAGTGCTTGGGCCCTGCACCCGCATGGGAAACCAGAAGGAAGCACCCGGCTCCTGGCTTTGGATCGGCACAGCGCAGGCTGTAGAGGCCATTCAGGGGCTGAACCAATGAAAAAGGAAGACCTTTCTCTCTGTCTCTCTCTCTAACTCTGCCTGTCAAAAAAAATTCATATTAAGTTAAAGAAATATTTCAGAAAGCTTTTCAGGCACAACGATCTCATATCAGAAATGTGGATCTGCAAAAATAAGTCAGTGCTAGAAGTGAAATAAAAGTAAAGGTAAAATTTATTTTTCTTGTGTTTAGTTGACTCAATAAATATATAACTGTATAAAGACAGGAGGTAGCAATGTTTCGAGCTTTTATAGAACATGAAAAAGTAAAACATTTGAAAACTATAGCACACAGGAAATGGGGAAGGATTGGAAATATACTTTGTAAGATCCTCACATTATATGTGAAGTAGCACAAAAAATTTGAAAGTAGAGTCTTCTAAATTAAAGATATATATTGAAAAATCTATGACAACTACACAATAATTTAAAACAGGTGTATGTGATAAGCCAGTGGAGACAAAATGGAATAGTAAAATATACTCAAATTAACTTCAAAGAATGTATTAAAAGAAGAAAAAACAATAGATGGGACAAATAGAACAGACTAGCAAAATGGTGGCAAGTAGTCCAACTACATCAATAATTATATATAATAATTAAAAGACATAATTTTCAAATTATATGAAAAAGCAAACCCATCTATATGCTGCCTATTCCCCCAAAATTAAAAAAAATTAAATATATAACACAGACAGGTTAAAAGTAAAATGATGGGGACCGGCACTGTGGCATAGCAGGTTAAGCCACCTTTTACAGTGCCAGCATCCCATTTGGATGCCAGTTCAAGTCCTGGCTGCTCTACTTCAAATCCAGCTCCGTGTTAATGTACCCAGGAGGGCAGTGGAAGATGGCCCCCGAACCCATCTGGGAGACCTGGAAGAAGCTCCTGGCTCCTGGCTTCAGACTGACCCAGCTCTGGCCATTGTGGCCATTTGGGGAGTAAATCAGCAATGGAAGATTGATTCTCTCTCTCTTTCTCTGTGTCTTTTCCAGTTTCTGTCTGTAACTGCCTTTCAAATAATAAATCCTTAAAAAAAAGTAAAATGATGAGAAAAGATAACATGCAAATGTTAATCAAAAGTATTTTGAGTTTCCTACTGCCAGCTTTGGCTTGACCCAGCCTTGGCTATTACATGTATTTGGGGAGTGAACCAGAGGATGAGAGCACTCTCTCTGTCTCTCAAATAAATAAACTTTTTAGAAAACTCTCTTAATATCTAAAAAGTACAGCTATTTTGATATTAAAGTAGACTAAAATAATCAACAGAAGCCAACATTGTAGAATAACGGGTTAAGCCACCACCTATGATGCCAGAATTCCATTTGGGTACGGGTTGGAGTTCTGACTGCTCTATTTCTGATCCAGTTCCCTAATACACCTGTGAAAGCAGCAGAAGATGGCCCAAGTGCTTGGGTCCATGTCACCCACATGGGAGACCCAGATGGAGTTAAAGCTCCCAGCATTGGCCTGGTCCAGCCCAGCCATTTCAGACATTTGGGAAGTGAACCAGCAGATGGAAGATCTTCCTATCTCTCCATCTCTCTCAGCAACTCTGCCTTTCAAATAAATAAATCAATCCTTTTTAAAAAATCAACTAACGTGTATTAACTTGAAAAATATATTTCTGATGTCAAAGAAGTCAGACACAAAAGTATACTTATGTATGACTGCATTTCTATGAACCTTAAGATAAGGCAAAACTAATCTTTAGCGATAGAAATTAGAACAGTGGTGGCCTGGGGTTAAGGTGGGGATTGACGAGAGAGGGGACAGCTACACATGAACTTCCCAGGGTAATGGAACTCTCCCATTTCTCAGTGTTGACAGCATGGGTGGATATGCTTTTCAAACCTCACCAGTGTGAGTTATGATCTATAGATTTTTCTTAATTAAACCCAAACAAAAACTAATCATGAAACACAATAGCCCTCAAAGAAATGCATCTGTCAGGAAATTAAAAGAAAACCATCTGAAAACTGCATGAATGCGAGTCACAGTGGGAAAGGACACAGTAGTTGTAGAGCATTTAACTGGATTTATCTTTTTGGTTTTTTTGACAGGCAGAGTTAATGAGAGAGAGAGAGACAGAGAGAAAGGTCTTCTTTCTGTTGGTTCACCCCCAAAATGGCTGCCATGGCTGGCACGCTGCACTGATCCGAAGCCAGGAGCCAGGTGCTTCCTCCTGGTCTCCCATGGGGTGCAGGGCTCAAGCACTTGGGCCATCCTCCACTGCACTCCCAGGCCACAGCAAAAAGCTGGACTGGAAGAGGAGCAACCGGGACAGAACCAGCGCCCCAACCGGGACTAGAACCCAGGGTGCCAGTGCCACAGGCGGAGGATTAGCCTAGTGAGCCATGGTGCCAGCCAACTGGATTTATCTTTAAAAATTAACATAAGCATACTTCCATCTAAATATAATTCACCATTCTAATGGTCAACATGTAGCCTTGTTTGAAAGCAACTTTGCATAAACTGCAGAATACCTTCAAAAATATAATCAACATTTCAATCAGTATGTAAGAAGACATCTTCATATGGACAAGGACTTCCTGGTATCTGAATTTTCCATCATGAACAGTAAAACAAATGCAACTAAGATATCAGCCCAGGTACCAAATTATGATTTAAAGCAACATTTCTCACTAGGCACCTACCATCTTCAGCTAGATAAACCACAGTATTTTCCTTAGAATCTGGATAAAGCGGTTCCATTTCTAGACCTGTTGGGATATACATTGGCTCAGGATTCAAAGGAGTGCAATCTGGAACGAGAAAAAAATGACACATTCTTGAAATGTGACTTCAAAACAAAAAGAAAAATTTTATTGTATACTTTCAAGTTATTCATTGATGGACCCAGGCTAAGATTCAGTGTTACATTGCTTAGCAAGGGTTCATTGGAGGTGGCAATGAACACTGTCACACTAAAACAAAACTAATGACATTTAATTTTCACGTTCTTCTAAGGTATGACATTGAGTAGCTCATCATTACGTTGTGTTAGTACAGATTTTGTACACAATTTCTATTTCCCGAGCCCTTGATGTAATTTTATCCCCTCTGGGACTTTTGCTCCATTGTTTCCTCTTCTTTTCACTGAAACGTAAGTCTCTTGCTATACAGTGGCTGTCCCAGAAGCTTACACACACGATCAGATTTCTGCTTTCTTTTTTTTATTTGACAGATTGAGTTAGACAAGGTCTTCCTTCTGTTGGTTCACCCCCCAAATGGCTGCCATGGCAGAAGCTACGGCGATCGGAAGCCAGGAGCCAGGTGCTTCCTCCTGGTCTCCCATGAGGGTGCAGGGCCCAAGCACTTGGGCCATCCTCCACTGCCTTCCCGGGCCACAGCAGAGAGCTGGACTGGAAGAGGAGCAATTGGGACTAGAACCCGGCGCCCATATGGGATGCTGGCGCCGCAGGTGGAGGATTAGCAGGTGAGCCACGGCGCTGGCCCCTCTTCTGTCTTTGAAAAGCACACTCCCACCTTCTCCTTTAACTACCAGCTTTGCTTCTCCTCATTCTTTTCAGGACCAATTTTCTTAAAGTTGTCTGTCACAATGCTGAAATCTTCCTATGACACATTTGATGGAGGTAAAACAAAAATGATTTCATAGCCTAAATACCCTAGTGGTTTGCATTTTTCAGTGGAATAAGAATTTGGTGATGAAGGAACAAGCATCACTGGACAAACATTTTGGGCGTTATATTTATATCTGCTTTAGTAATAGAACTGTATTTAACATAATGAACAGCGGGCAAACCTGTTTACGAACTATATAGTTTATCATATTGATACAACTATGCATCATTGTGCATTGTAGTCTTAATGGAACAACATACAGCCAAATACATTGATAAGTAATAAAGCTAATTACAATTAAAAGGTGAAACTCCTGAAAACTTGAAAACCTTATTCAAGTCAAGCCAAAATTATGAACTGAGATTACAGTGTCCATTCTGAAAACTGAATTCAGCTATTTGCATTTGTGAAGGTTGATTGTCAAAAGTTGCATGTGATATTTAGACTTCCCAGTTAAAGAAATAATTAAAGATTTCCTTCATTTGTTTTTTAATTTATTAATAAATAATCCCTATTGTTAAGGAACATGAAACTCTACCATTAGAACCGAAGAAAGAACTCGCACATAAGGATTAAGTTTAAAATAAAAAATGCAGTGGAAAGCTTTAACAACAAAGCGAAGCTGATAAAGGATTAATAACCAGGATATATAAAGAGATCAAGAAACTCCACAACAACAAAACAAGCAACCCAGTTAAGAGGTGGGCAGAGGAACTTAACAGACATTTTTCAAAAGAGGAAATCCAAATGGCCAACAGACACATGAAAAAATGTTCAGGATCACTAGCCACCAGGGAAATGCAAATCAAAACCACAATGAGGTTTCACCTCACCAGTTAGAATGGCTTTCATACAGAAATCAACAAACAACAAATGCTGGTACCTAATTCACTGTTGGTGGGAATGTGAACTGGTAAAACCACCATGGAAATCAGTTTGGAGACACTTCAGAAATCTGAATATGGCATATGACCCAGCCATCCCACTCCTTGGAATTTACCCAAGAGAAATGAAATCAGCAAATAAAAGAATTATCTGCACCCCCATGTTTATTGCAGCTCAATTCACAATAGCTAAGGCATGGAATCAATCTAAATGCTCGTCAACTGAAGACTGAAGAAATTATGGGATATGTACTCTATGGAATACTGCACAGGGGAAAAAATGAAATCTGGTAATTTGCAACAAAATGGATGAATCTGGAAAACATCATACTTAGTGAAATAAGCCAGTCCCAAAGGGGCAGATACCATATGCTCTCCCTGATCTGTGACAACTAACAGAACACATAAGAGGAAACCTGTGGAAGTGAAATTGACACTTTGAGAAGCAATGACTTCAACAGTGCTTGTCTTGACTGTCTGGGAAGAGGTTTCTTTTTTTTCCCCTTAATGGAGAAAGGGACTGGGCATGGAAGAGGGAGGAGGAGGTGGGGTGGGAGGGCAGGTATGGTGGGAAGATCACTATATTCCTAAAGTTGTATTTATGAAATTTGTACTCGTTAAACAAAAGGTTTCTTTGGGGGGAAAAAAGGATTAAGTTTACTATGATAATACTTTGAGAATCAGTCTAAACTCACTTCAGATCAGCTTTTGCTCCATTTAGTCCCATACTTACCACAGCACTAAAACTGTTCTTTGCATTGTATTTGAAACACAATGAGTACTCAGTTAAGTGTCTAACCGAATGCATGGTCAAACAATTCAGATGGGTTTCTGATATACTATTGTTCAAATTTAAATGATGTACTATAAGCTTATTTGCATAAATGCTTTATGTATGACATATCTTCACTGCAAATAAATCTATTTTAGAGCTACAACTGTTTATGCAGAAGAGATTTGTGCTGGAAATGAAAGTGCTTCCAGATTTGCTGAATATTTCACATTAAGGAATTTTGTTTTTAACAGGTTTAAAATACAATATGGATTTCTGATTAGGATCCTTCTTTAAAAAAATATTTATTTATTTGAAATATAGAGTTACAGAAAGAAATAGAAACAGAGAGAGGTCTTCCATCCGCTGGTTCACTTCCCAGATGGCCACAATGGCTGGAGCTGCACTGATCCGAAGCCAGGAGCCAGGAGCTTCTTCCGGGTCTCCCACGCGGGTGCAGGGGCCCAAGCACTTGAGCTATCTTCTGCTGCTTTCCCAGGCCATAGCAGAGAGCTGGATGGGAAGAGGAGCAGCCGGGATTAGAACCAGCGCCCATATGGGATGCCAGTGCTTCAAGCCAGGGTTTTAACCAGCTGCGCCACAGCGCTAGCCCCAGAATCCTTCTTGCTTTGTTATCAGCGATACTTTTGGAGGTGTCTTTAGCTAGTTTTGCATATTCTCAGAATCCATTTTCAGAATATCCTAGCGGCCTTGTCGATGTCTGCTGCTAAAAAACGACTTGAAGCGGGTGGTCATCACGTCCCAGGGAAACGCAGGTGTCTGTGGATAACCAGTGTGTGGTTCTCAGTTCTCTCAAAGTTCAAGTCTCATGAGGTATCAAAATGACTGACTGTTCTGAGTTGTCCTTGGATCAAAGCCACGCCCCAGAAGAATGGAGACTGCACTTGGCATGGGCATATCATGTGAGCACCCATCAGTATACAGCTCCGCCATCATCGCTCACGGGTCACCTTGTGAAGTTTCCACTTTGGCCTTCACCTCCTTTCTCTATAGGCCTTAGCAATGGCTTGGCAAGCTAACATGTGGGACCAGACCACGCTCTCAGCCTTACACCATTCACTTCATTTCTTTTAAGAAAAAAAATCCTAGTCCCAGTTGGGGTGCTGGTTCTGTCCCGGTTGCTCCTCTTCCAGTCCAGCTCTCTGCTGTGGCCCGGGAAGGCAGTGGAGGATGGCCCAAGTGCTTGGGCTCTGCACCCCATGGGAGACCAGGAGGAAGCAACTGGCTCCTGGCTTTGGATCGGCGCAGTGCCAGCCATAGCGGCCATTTGGGGGGTGAACCAATGGAAGGAAGACCTTTCTGTCTCTCTCTAACTCTGCCTGTCAAAAAAAAAAAAAAAAAAAAAAGAAGAAAAAAAATCTCATGCAAAGGAAGATTCCTTGAGGCCCTGATCACTAGCACAGGAGAGAGTTCTGGACGTATTTGAAAATGGCATTTAACTCCTGTATAAAGATGAGTTTAAAACATTACTCTTCTGAGAATGGCAAATATTATGCTTTAAAGTTTTCTGCCTTTGTGGTAGTCTGTCTCCTTCTACTCTCCTTTCATTAGTTTGTGTGGAGTTCCACATCTTCAAATAACAGCAGAATATTGTTTTTTCAGAAAGTAAAATAAAGGGTATTTACAAAGTGTCTCCATGATGTGGAACACATTTGTTTGTACTGTATCTGTCATCCTTTTATGGAAGAAAAAAATACAATAAAAATTAACAGCTCCAGAATGGATCCAGTCTTTCACAGTACTCACATAAAAGCATAAGTGGGATATTCCATTTTTTTAAAACTTTCATTTGGATATTGTAGGACATTCTGTTAACTGTCTCAAGTTTATCTTTGTTTGGTCCTACATTTTCATATAGTATATGCAAATGATTTTATAAATCCTAGGAATAAAAAATTTCTGAATAAGGTCTTAATTTGGAACTTTTTGATAAGTATTTTTTAAAAAGCATTTATTTTTATTTATTTGAAAGGAAGCACAACAGACAGAGAGAAAGAGAAATTCTACCCAATGATTCACTCTCCAATGGCTGCAACAGTCATGGCTGGGTTAGTCCAAAGCCAGGAGCCCAGAACTCAATCCAGGTATTCTGTGTGAATGGCAGATACTCAAGCACTCAAGTCATAACCTGCTTCTTCTCAGGTGTATTAGGAGGAAGCTGGACTGGAAGAAGAGCAGCTGAGACAGCTGAGACTTCAACCAGGCACTCTAACATGCGTGCAGGTGTCCCAAGTGGAGGCCTAACCCGCTGCACCATGGCACCTGTCAAGTGATTTTTTAATTCAACTTATATTTCATGTCAAAATTTGGAAGTACAGATTAAGCAATGAGCTTTATCAACACTGTGGTGTTTTTAGGGGTTACTCTCAACCATCTAGTTAAAATGCTTTTGGCTCTAAGTAATAAAACTGTCAACGCAAACTGACTTAAGTAATAAAAATTCAGGGCTGGTACTATGGCGTAAAGGGTAAAGCTGCTGCCTGCAGTGCTGGCATCCCATATG